TGACATAGTGAAATTGAGAGTAAAATATTCAAGATAGCAAATTCACTTTGTGTCCCATAGTTTTTATGCATAAAAAATTCACAGAAACATTAGTCATAACTTTCAGAATTCATATTTATATATATTTTGTGGCAATTATTTCTTTTAAAAAAGGCCAGTCAAGCACAAAGATATTTTCTACTGTGATTCAAATCTAAATATATAGTTTTAATTAAAGACAATAATTTTCAGAGTGACTGGAGATGGACTGCTGGACTTAAAAAGCTGCTACCCTGGACTGCCAATGTCTTATTCACTAGATGGTGGTGAGTCATGGCAGGCTTATAGTGAACAGTTTGATGTCACAGCTTATGATGAAGTTTTAGTTAGATGCAGGTAGAGTTGTTGTTTTTTCTACCACAATTAACTTAGTTCCTATGCTCTTCCCTTTAAATTTTGATAGTAAAAATATGTAACTCTTTTAAGTGTACATTTAGTCAACAATTAAGACATAGACCTATTTATTATCATAATGAAGTCACTTAAGGGATGAATAGCCTAAAAATTGGAATGTTTTCTATGAATAACACTCAGGACAAAAGAGCTTAAAATAAATAGTACTATACTGGAAGTAAACAAAGAATGAAATAGCTGCTGCTTAAACAGTAATTATATAAATGCCAGATTCATGACATGCTCTAGATGAAATATATGCCACAACTTTCAGAAGTAAAATGTTTCACCAATATAATACATGAGAAGAATTGAAACCAAGTACAAGACATAGATTACAATCATGCGTAGCAGTGCCTTGGAGAACCAAATATTGGTATTGAAAATGGATTTGCAGCATTATGTGTTGTCTGAGGTGTAGTTGATAATAAATACTTCACTGTATCCTAGCTGTCTAAGCAGAACTAGACACTATCCTTAAAATATATTATCTACATCTGAAAAGTTGTGTTGTCTGAGGTGTCGTTGATAATAAATACTTCACTGTATCCTAGCTGTCTAAGCAGAAACAGACACTATCCTTAAAATATATTATCTACATCTGAAAAGTTGTACTAGTAACAACTAACCTATTGACTTAGCCAGAGGAAACAAAGAATATGAAAATTTCACTTAGCCAAAACCATTACTTTCTGTCTAGAACAGAATATGTATATGTTTCATTGTTTAGAGAAATCCAGTTTACATTTTTAAATGTTCTGCATTGAGCTCAGTGCATTATTATAAACTTTTATTCAAATAATATAATGTTGCTGATCTGTTAGGTCTGACTAAGTATTTTGAAAGAAATATTTAAGTGAAGTGAATAATGTGGTTTAAATGTTGTTGTATTTTTGTCATAATTTAGTGAGTTATAATTGGCTATTTCAGTTCCCACCAAGGTGTCCACCATAGCAGAGTCACAAAACTCGCCATCAAGACATATACAGACAGCGACGAACAGAGTAATTAAACATTATCTCTAAGTCAATGATATAATTAATTCTTTTCCAAATACCTCTCATTTTGTGTGTGTGACAGATACTATTTTATGCATACATAAAGTTCTTCTAGTGAACAATGAAGAGTAATGCGTCTAGCTCTCTAGTCAATAAGATCACATTTGATTGAGAAGTTTCACTTTTATTTCTTCCTTTTGGATGTTCCATTTGTGTATGATAAGAAGTTACTCTTTTGTCTTATACAGTTGTACGACTGAGTCTATAACTTTTGCCTGAATATAATCATGGAATGTTTACTTGGAGGTACTTAGAGGACAGTTTGGGAATGTTCAAGGGAAAAATTGTTATTTCTCAACCTAAGATAGGGGAAATGTTTACTTGAAGGAAAAATTGGCGATGACATTAAAGGCTTGTTTTAAAAGACTAATGCTGCAGCTAAGAAAGCTAAACATGCTGCCAAGAAGGGAGTGGCAAAGAAACCAGCCAAAAAATAAATTGCAAGAAGTTTGTAGAGGAAAATAAAAGAAGAGGGAGAATATATTGAAATAAAAAAAAATATTTTTCCAAGGAAATCGGAAGCTAAAAAGGTTTAAAAAAAACAGCTAAGCTTTGAATTAAGTAGTGGCACACATTATGCTGTGTAAGATCCGTACCATCATAGTTACATGTAAACTTTACTCGTCATGTATATAAAGTACAGATTGAACTGCTGGTCATCATATTATGCACATTTAATAATAATAATATAATATAATTGTCTTCAAGTCAGAAGATTAATGAGGAATGCAGTATTTCCCATGGCTATGCAGCATATGCCTTTGATTATGCAAATTTGATTTTTACTAAAAAACCCTTTTTAATTATATATATATATATATATATATTAAAGAAGATCCTTGTCAACAGTTTGATGCTTAACTGCACATTTTAAAAAAATCAAAACATTTAAATGATAAATGCTAAGTATTTATAGGCAAGAAAAAAAACAACACTTTATGTAAAAACAAAAAAAAATATAACAAACATTTTTCTTTTTTTTTAAAAATAAAATTGTCAAAATATATTGCCGATTTCTCTTTTTATTTCCTAATTGTATTCAGTTAACTAAAAGAAATTTAAATCTCAACTGCTAAGTGATACCCCTCTGCACAAGTACCATTCCCAGTGATCAGCACTGAGACTCCTTCAACATCCAGTTTCATCCAAGTAATCATTGATATACATACATGAAACCAGTGTAGTAGCTATGGTGGTGGTGGTGGGGGGGGGGGGGGGGGACCAAATGAATGTCCAAAATTTGTATTCACATTAAATATTACGTCTTTTACTCATGTCATGATGTTGAATGTCAAAATGCAGGGGCCCCTAAAGAGGTCATCCCCCCCCCCCCCCCCCCCGGGCCCCCAAATCCCTAGCTATGCCACTGCATGAAACCAATAAAAGTCGTTTGCTAAAATAATCAGTCTCATAAAATATAATCACTAGAAACCTACAAAATAGTTTGTATTGGTGTAAATATACCCACATGGCCTTATATAATTTGGCTATATTGTAACAATATTTTTCTTAATGGTTTTATATAATACAATTTTTATTTTTTTTAATGTATTTCTTTTTAATTAGTAAGAGTATAACAATTAAATTATATCTTGCCAGTTGTATAGTGATAGTATTTATCTAATAATAGTGATAGTAGTTACCTAATAAGATTGTTAGCATTTATTATACTTATTGCGTTTGATTTTTGTTTGTTTACTAAAGAAAAAGAATGAGATAGACCACATACTAATTAGAGAGTACTTCCATCAAAACTTTGTGAGAGCTCTAAATGTCTCACTAACTGTGTGTCTTTTATTTCAATCCTTTGTTTTTGTTCAAAAGGACAGGACCTTAACATTCCACGGCTGCTGTCAAATGTTCCCTTACTGCTTTGTATCGATTGCTCTTTGGGAGGAGAGCATAGTATAAAACTGATATTTCTCTCTGTTTATCATCTCAATGTGGACCCTAAGGGACCTTCGTTACATTCAGTTTTACCTTTTATAAAGGTCCAAATACTATTATTATGATTATTTTTTGTCCTGTAAAACGTTTATTTTTTTAATTTAGGGATTCACGTGATCTCCTAAATCAATTTCAAATTTTATATTATTGTTTTGTTATGAATAAAATATACAAACCAAGTAGAATTATTGTTTTGTAATTTTTTAAATATTTATTGCATGTAATCAGTGTGAATATTTGCTGGCCTTCAATCAAGACTTTGTTTGATTTCAAAGCTCAGGATCTACATTTGATTTTTTATTATCTTTAATCCAGTCTGTTTTCCAGACCAATATGTCTATGTACAGATTGAGAAACTATTTTACTTGCTGTCCTCAGGGTAAAAAAAATATTGAATTATTTTTTACTTTTTTGTCAGTAGAATGTGAAGGACACCAGACTTTAGGTTTATGTTTGCAACAAAAACAAATTCTCAGAGACCATTTCTACTAAGTTATTATTTCAATTAAGAAAAGCATTTAGTTCCTCTTGAGTCAGACACTGGACACACTATGCCTATTAGTACTTTTAATATGTCCTATCACATTAATGTTTTGGAATGATATTTAATTCCATTTCTCTAAACTATTGAAAGTATTTACAAGTTTTTAGTTCTTATTTATCATGTATAGTCAACCTTAAAGTTATCTATTGTAAAAGTATCTCATTCAAGGCTACATAATTCATCGTAATGATTAAAATTATTTTTTTAGCTTTTCGTTCACCAGATTACTATATAAAATTAGGATTTGTTAAAATGTGTTTTGTCAAACATTTGATGGTAACTATGTAATTATTTATGAAATAAAGTTAATCACTAAGTAAATAGTAATACTTTTTCAAGATTGCAGTAAAATTAGATTTGACAAGTTTCTACTACCACTACATGATTAAGACTAAGATTAAGTTTCCTAGTTTATCTTTCCTTGTTTTGGTATTTTGTCAAGCTTAAAGGAAAGCTATTTCAAACTTGCAATTTAATAATAATTTAATAGATCAGCATAAATGAAGTTTATGTGAACTGATCAAGTTGAATAAAAACATCTCAAACTATAAACAAAGTTTTGTGTTGCAATTGTGGTGAGATCATGATGGAACTAGCACTGCAGCCACTCGGATCTAAACCATCTAACATTAGCTGATAGGTAAAAGCAGTGGATTATCATACAACATAAATTTGTGTACATTAAAATATTTTCTGAGAGAACAAACTGCTGAGTGGATTTCATGTCACTCCCCAAACTCATGTGAACTACATGTCACATCTGGCAAAACACTGTTAATACTAATTAAGATATGTAGAAAAAAAAATGTTCTCACTTCATGTGATCATCATTTAAGTGAAAGTAAGAGTGTGTAAAGAGTGTTGATTTGTTCATATTGGCTAATTCACTTTGTTACTCAATGAGCTAAATCATAGTGGAGGATAATCAGTCTGTAGACGTGTCTGCATTGAGTAGACAGAAATAAGAAAACCAGGCAATACATGACATAAACAGATATATAACAGATATAAACAAACATGTTTACATTGTTTTATTTTGTTTAATCTCATTGTAATAATAGCATGTTCCAACAGTGCAAAACAAATCAACACATAATTTATTTCCAAATAAGAACCTTTTTTTTTATCATATTTTACACAAACTAGTCACTTGATAAAGTCTTTTTTAATAAAACTAAAATCAGGAATAACCTTAATCATATTATTGAAAAATCTGACCAGGAAGAATGGACAATGAAGGTGAAAGTTTTTTTGGCAGAAATAATTTTCAGAATAACCAGAACCAAAAAGGACCAAAAAAGAAAATTTGTAAGGCTATTTTACCAGACACTGTAGTCGACACTATCATTAACTATTGGATAAAGTGATACGCAAATATTAATAAATTATTCTTTTTATCCATACATAATGATCGGAACAGTCATTAAATTGTAATTTCAAGGGGGATATTTTCATAGCAGTGCATCAATTAATGAATGGTTTAAAAAAAAAAAAAAAAAAAAAAGCTTGTTTTTCAACAAAAACATAACTAAAAAAAAAATGTATACACAACTAGTTAATTTTACAACTGAACTACACAGCAAAATTCTTCAATTTACTACTAAAATCTCAAAACTAGGAATCTCAAGTTAGCAGCCAATCATTCAATATGCTGCTGAAAATGGTTTCTCAGAAGTGGAAAGCCTTGGTTGCATCCCCTAGAAAATCATCTTCTATTATGAAAACAAAGAACTCAAGATTATTTGAAAAGATTTAGTCCTAGGCCTTCAACACAAAACAACAAATAAATATCACAAGTTCAAACACTATTTTTTTAAATAAATTAATGTACAAAATTACTTAAATAGAATTATAATAATTAATCATTGGTTGTGACACTTGATTGCGTACATAAATCTTCACCTTGGTTTACAGCAACAGATATGCTCAACATTTATGTTGCTTAATTTATTGTGATCAGTTTTCTATTTCAGATTTAGACTTCAACTGTATTTACTTAAGTACTGTTCAGCAGGTTTTGGCCTTTCACTGGTCGACTCTTATACTTCCAGACATCCTGTAAATAAACCAATCAGGAAAACTATAAGTTTAAACAACAAACAAAGTCAATGGATCTACTTACAACTTATTCCTAGTAGTAAGAAACATTAGCATATGACTTTCATGTTATAACGACTCAAACAACAAGAAAATTATAAAAAATAACCTTTTTAAAAAACGAAGCTTATACGAAGTTTAATTATATCAATTAGTTTGGATCAGTCATGTAATATAATTTGTAATACATCTACACCAACAACAATCATCATCATCATCATCAAACTCCATTTGACTGAGGGCTTGAGAGGCTTAAATCCTCTCTTGCAAAAGCCCTGGACAGAAACCCTGCTGTCTTGCGTAGTGCGTATGTCACCATACAGGTCAAGAATTTTTGGTTTCCCAGGCCTGTCGAAGTGGAGATCGGCTAGTCTGGGGCAACAACAATAAATCTGTGCAATTAATAATATTTCTATCAATTTTATTCTGTTTAGCGCTATTTCATGCTTTCAGCTTTCTCAGTAATAAGAAAGAGATATCTTATTGGATTTCGCCCTAATTGGTTTTAAAAGCAATAACAAAAAAAAAAAAAAAAAGGGGGGAACGAAATGAATTTGAACTTGTTGCTCACAGCTCCTCAGGCTGACAAGCTAACCACTCTGTCAGTAAGATACTTATGACTAGAGAATATTGTAAAGTTATTGTTTGTTTCAATTTAGAGTGGCGACCTATAAAGGGGACTAATTTAGCCTATACCACCACTTCAATAAAGTACTATTTCTTTTCCTTGTTTAAGACACCAAACAAAATAATTAATTAATTTTACAAATTAATTAATTAACTAATTGTTTAATTTTTTAAAATTTGATTCCTGTTTTGTCAGGTAAAAGAAATAATTGTGCAAAATTTCAGCTTGACCTGAGCTTGGGTGTCTGAGAAAAAAAAACATAAAAAATTTTTTACCAAAGACAAAGTGAGTTGATATAAGCTTTGTAAAAATGAGAGTATTGCATGTTTTGTTTTTGTTTCCTACATTTTAGATTTTCCTTCAAAAATTAAAATTACATCCTAGCCCAGATCACATGTTTGCGTGGTGCAGTGTGGTGGCAGAGTGGTAAAGTGCTTGGCAGTAAAACTGATGGGTCTCGGTTTCAAATTTCTGTGAAGACTATGTGTTTGAATTTCAGAGTCTACGCAAGTCTAATGTCAAGTCTAACAGATGGTGATTGTAATGGTCATGTGACACTGTCATTAACCATCTACCATGCAAACAGATTACATTTACAACATCTGCCCCATAGAGTGTGGGTACTTTACTTTTTATCAGGGCTCATGTAATACGAAGGATTGCAGCCAACAGAGTTTAAACTCTGGATCATCAAAGTATCAGTCTGTAAATGAATGTTGAATGGTGTAGGGTTGCAGAATGCAAATGTCATGTAATGCTGGGTTCTTGCTTCCTGAAGTACTCTTGACACGTGACAAGACAAATACTATAAACTGACCTAAGTCCGTTTCAGCAGACAAACATGAAGTTTATTTTACAACACAATAATAATAATACTGCACTCCTTGTTAGTCCTACAAGTCAAGAAATAATAAACAATCCTATCCGTCTAACAGCGGTATCAAATGTATCCTATATGTGTTCGTTACAAATCACGTCCGCATCCCAGCGGGTAACAATAAGAACAATTACTACTAGTTACACTGGAACTTCAACTATAGATATCCATTGAAATACGAATAATACTTTCATAGTCAATAAGCACATAATGAAATCAACTCTCAAATATTATTAATCAACAATCACCAGTCCATCGACATTCATGCTATATACATATATACACCAGACAAGGAAGCAACGTCCAACCTTCTTGGACCGGAAACAAGACCTTACTGACTTGACTGAACTCAAAGTCAACTTTATTCATTCTACTTCCTGTTTTCTACATCAGGAATTCCATGTGTCTTTTAAGCTCTTAACATGACGTGAACATTAAATCATGCAATGTCAACTAAGACTGTGACACAGTCTAAATCATATATTACATAAACAGGCAGCCATCTTATCAATAGAGATAAATGTATTTTACTAAAGAGATAATCAATTATTAACCAACCAATGCTATAATTGGTTTCTTCCCAATTTTAATCATGTCACACTAGAGATTAAAAAGAGATGATATTAGGGTACCACTAAATAATTTAATGACCCTCATATTTTCTAATTAGTATAAATATGCAAATCTTATCAAAATATGTATTGCTGGTTATGACAATGTGATAGAATGTATCGCAGAAGAAAATGTGCTAAAATTGACTTACAGCAAAAGAGATGTTCACATCTCTACCCAACTTTTTCTTCACAAGTTCAACAACCTCATTAGCAATTGTTTCCTGTTCAGTGCCTTGGACGTCCACATAGTGAGCTATGCCACTTGCATAATGACAGGAAATAGACTGAAAGAATATTGCTTTGATTACTGTGTGCTGCTAGGTGTTAGAAAAAAAGAGTCATTTCCCTTTCCATCCCCTCCTCATAAATTAAGCAATTATAAAGTGTTTTGTATGTAACATTTTCTGTGAACAACTGAGCACACTATGTCGAAGTATATGTCTCGATGTTTTAAATTACTTTTAAAATTCCAGGCTAATCATAACAGTCCAAAGACTCTAAGTTTCTATCTTAATCTTACAACCAATGATGATACCGTTAGACAACACAATGCATTTTATTCAGTCATTCTAAAAATGATGAACACAGTGGTTGGTGTGTGGTCGTTGTACACTGAGGATTCAACTAGTCCCCTAAGAGTCTGAAGTAATCTCTTTTAGTTTTGAAAATACTTTAACATAAAGTGTTTTAGAATCATTGGTGGGAAAAAAATGCATCATGCTCTCCTTATGGCATCTAGATATACTACATCTTGAGAAATAGAGATTATAGTAAAACGTTTCCCCTTTCAGACCCTGCTATATAGGGGGCAGATGATGTAAAGGTCATCTGTTTCTGTGGCCCATGGTTAACAAGGATGTCATGTGGCCAGCACATCAACCAACCGCCTTTACTTTTCCCCAACTAATGTCAGGACCCATTAGAGTTGGGTGACTCAGAGGGGTCCTAAACATACAGAAAGTAAAAACCCCCTAACCCCTTCACCAGGATTTGAACCAGGAACCCCCGGTTCAGAAGCCAAGCGCTTTACCACTTGGCCACTGTGCATCCATAGAATAAAGCCTTTTCATAAAAACAGTGTCTATGTAGTGCTGTAAAAAAAACAATAGATAATAGATCCATGCGCTTTAGGGTTTGGCTACAAAGCAAATCACATTTTTCATGTGACACTATAAAAAAAATACCACACTACTTTTATTAACTGTATTTTTCAAAAAGAATAATTCTGGTAATGCACTCAAAGATTACCAAAGAGAATAATGCATAGTATTGTTTCAGTCCACTCCTGCCCCAGACCTCCTTGCTGCTCCCCAGTTTTAAATCCAGCCAAAACCCAATGGTAAAACAGTAGGATTTAAGAAAGAATGACAAAAAACTGGGACATAACTCAATAGCCAAAATTATCCCAAAGAAAATCTGGTTGGATATATATATTTTTATCAACATAATTTGGCTTGAAGCTTAGCTTTTCAGATGGGACAAGTAGAAATATTAGGTTGAATGTACTGCCCCATCATTGCCTATGATGCAAGGCAATGGATAAATAATGATGCTATTAAAATATAGACCTACTTTTCTGAACCCTTTGGATCTGTTAGCTCCAGAACCATGAATAAGAAGTGGATGAAAGAACACTGTATCACCAGCCTCCATTTCTAAGTGATCTCTGGGTTGGCTTGGATCATAATTTTGTATACCATGATACATTTTGTTGACACCTCCCTAAAATAGAAAATATTTCACAAGTTTATAGAAACAGACACTTTTTGTGTTCCTGAAGAGATTTGGGCTAAACTTAGAAATAAAATTATTTTAGATCAAACAATAAACAAAATTTAGCCTGGGAACATATTAACTGGTATTTAGCTGGTATGAGTCACAATCTAAGATGGTGCTAAGATAGATGTCATGTTGAAGGTTATCTAAATCTAAACAGCACAATTAATGATCGTGATCGCCGAGGATTTAGAAATCGTCAGTTGATAAGATGATCGTTTAGAAGTTTCTAGTTGATAAGATGATCATCTAGAAGTTACCAGTTGATAAGAGGATCATCTAGAAGTTGCTAGTCGACAAGACGATCTAAGTATATTATTATATATTCAATGAAGAAACTTCTCTTCGTCTAAAACAAATACTTTAATTCAAAACTTGGAAAAGCTATTCACAAATAATTACAATGGTTAAATGTACTTGAATAGAACAGAATGTGTATATATATTTCTACTAAATAAATGATCTACACAATAATATAATTATGTCTTCTTCCTTTGAGTTGTAACACGAGA